TATACAAATAAAAACAAAGATTGAATTATCAAAGGATAAAAGGGATGTATGTATAAAATAAAGAAAATTAAAAAATAAGACTATAAAAAATATAAGATAAGAATTAAGAAAGGAAAAGGATAATTATTTCAAAGGAGAAAATGTAAAGTAGTATGAGAAATGAGAAATTTAAGGATTAGAGAAAGTTGAAAAAAAAAAATGAATTTAAGAAAATTTTCAATGTGAGAATATATCACTTTCAGAACAAATTATGAAAATAAAAAAATAAAGAGAACTTTGAAAACGAAAATGGGAAGAATAGAGCCTGAACATACAGAGTGTCCCATATCATCTTTGATTATCTGGAAGCTGTAAAGTCAAAATACGCACATAGTAGAACTAGTATTTTCTGCATGATCTAATATGAAGTGAGACACCTTGTAAGATCTAATATGATGTGGGACACCCTGTAAGATCTAATATGATGCGGGACACCCTGTAAGATCTAATAAGATGTGGGACACTGCGTAAGATCTAATATGATAAGGGACACCCTGTAAGATCTAACACGATGTGGGACACCTTGTAAGATCCAATATGATGTGGGACAACCCTGTAAGATCTAATAAGATGTGGGACACCCTGTAAGATCTAATATGATGTGGGACACCCTGTAAGATCTAATATGATGTGGGACACCCTGTATGATCTAANTTATAACACAAATGCGTATTTCCTACAGAAGGCAGCAAGGGGAGAAAGGAATATAGAAAGTAATCAATTTGCTATAGATGTCTCTCCTTGCACCTTTTCTCAGAGGTTCAAAAATTAGTTGTCTGCTACAAGCAATTTAGGAAGGAGGTTTCTACCTGCCTGCATATCTATATATATATTATCTTTGTCTAGGGAACATACTGTATTAATGTACTCTACTGCATATAATTTGTGAACTTTTACATGATTTGTACACTTTGCACTCCCTTTCAGGCTGAAAGGGACTGAAAATATTCATACCGAGAAATTCTTTAAATTCACCTCTATATATTCTATTCTCTATGCCTTTAATCCGTGACTCCGAGGACTCATTTAATAGGGAGGGAGGAGGAGGAAGAAGAAGAAAGATAAGATGTCTTATTTTCATTGTTTTCCATTTTTTAAATGTTTCCTTGCGCTCCAGTTCTTCTGAAACAGACCAGTGTCCCAGGTCTAATTTTCTCGTAATAGTATTAAATGTCGTCTTTCTCAGGAAACTGCAAAAACGTTTTTGCATTTTAATGTAAAACTTCTAGATTTTTAAAGGGATGTTAGTGTCACTCACACACTAACCATTTTAAAATATTCGACACTGTCCTACATATACAATGAGAATCAGAAAACTCAGACGACGACTTTTAAACTCAAATTATTTCTAATTAGATTGTCCAATGAACATGAGGCACAACAATCGTTCAGTGCGAACAGCCCAATTTCACTTAATATGTTATTATTGTATCAACATCAAATACACTTTACTATTGCTTTAATGTCATCTTTCTATTTCACAGTTTTTTGGTTCATACTGTGTTTCTTTAGGTTTATGTATTGTTTATAATTACATATTTTTGTTTCGATTACAAGAAACCTTTTTACCAGAGCAGAAATTTTATTTCTTGAGGCAAACAGAGTAATAATTTAGATTATTTGTGTATTTTTTATAAAAAAGTAAGGAACAACGGTTCAGATTTGAAATTGATGAATAACTTTTGTTGTTTTTATAATTTTATCTTTTTGCAAAGTTTAATTAATGCTTAAAATACCCTTTTAAGTATCAATTCTTATTCTCAATAGTGTTGTTTGTCACTTCTGCTTTTGCAGTTGCAAGATTGATTAGCTGCAACTTGTAGTAATTAGACAATAATTAGAAAATTAATCTGAAAAAAAACTGAATCCGGATTATAAGAACACAAGCTATTCATGTTTTTAAAAATAAAATTTTTTTTTGTCTCGAATCAAAGAATTTTCATTGAAAAAAAATATTCTCCAGACCACATTTTATAAATCTCTAATTTCATAAAGTTGTCATTTACATTTTTAACTTATTTTTTACGCTTTTTAAATTGAAAATATTTTGTAAAAAGAAGAATGAAATTGCTTGGATTGTGTAACCAGCTTCAGCAGTAAATAATCCAGGTTTATTGCGAAATTAGTGCATTCGCAATAGGATTCAGCAATCTAAAATTTTGCAGAAACCTTGCAAAAGTTTGCGGGTATATAACATGGAATAAATATTGTAACCACGGGAACAATAGATGTAAAATACAGGGTTATCCACAAAGAATGAGACTTTATATATCTCATTAGGTCTTGATTTAAAATGTTTTGAAAATGATAAAGGGTTACCCACAAAGGATGAGACTTTATTGACGACTGTAAGGAATTTTTCCTGTCTGTTTGCCAATATTTATGATTCCTAGCAACTGTATAAACTTGTCTTTTTTTGCCTAACCATGACATAAGCCACAAAACAACTATATCTAAAGCAGAAGATTTAATTCAACCATGAGGTCTTCGTTAAAGTCTCTTCCTTTGTGATTAACACATACAGTATACACAACATATATGTCTAATCCTAAGCGGGTAGCCCTCAAATACTAACAAATAGATCAACAAGAAACAGAAAATAGTGAATTATAAAGATCATCATGCAAGAGTTCGATATTTTGAACCAAGTCACTTAATCTCTTATAAACTTAAAAGATTTAAAGTGTCGAAAACTTAAAAACTTGTGGAATTGAAATCTTTAAACTATTAAGCTTACAAACTGGCAATTTGGAACACTTTGAAATGTAAGACCTTTAAGATGTTAAAATTTAAACTTTATTTCGTAACTTTAAAATTGTGAAGATTGAACATAGCCCAAAACTTTTAAAATATTAAACCAGGAAACAACGGAACCACATATTCTCAATAGTTTACCCCCCATTTCTCCCCCCCCCCCCCCCTATCGCGGTGCAATGTGAATAGTATAGTAACAAAATGAAGGTCGGTTCGTGACATTTTCAGGGCTAAATCTACCTCAGCAAACTGACTCCACAAATTTTTTTCAAAGTTCTTTTTAGAATGATTTGGGATTTTCTGAAACTGGGGAGAAATATTTTCCTCTTTTAAGCTCTTGCAGTTTGATTTTAGGATCTTAATATCTCAGTTTTATCTCTAAACCTCAACCATTCACATTGTCAACCCTTGCACTTAGTTCTCTCAATTGTGATGTGACTTCAAATCATTTATATTGTAAATTGAACACAAACTATATTGCAAATGTTAATAATGATTATTGTTGATGATAAAGATTTAAAAAATCAAACTTTTGTTGATTACATGTTGATTATATTGATGATGATGTTAATGTTAATAATGTTATTGATATTGATGATTTTGATAATGTTTATGAGGCTAATGATGTTGATGATGTTAAAGATGTTGATAATGATGATGATGATGTTGAAGATGTTGATGTTGATGATGTTGATAATATTAATGATATTGATGATATGATGTTGATAATGTTGATAATGTTGATAATGTTAATAATGTTAATGATGTTGATGATTTTGATAATGTTGATAACATTGATGATGTTGATTACATTGATGATGTTGTTAATGTTGATGATGTTGTAAATTTTGATGATGTTGTAAATTTTGATGATGTTGTAAATTTTGATGAATGTTAAATGGATAATGTTGATAATGTTGATAATGTTAGTGATGATAATGATGTGGATAAAGTTGATGATGTTGATATTGTTAATGATATGGATGATGTTGATAATGTTGATAATGTTGATTATGTTAATGATGTTGATGATGTTAATCATGTTGATAACATTGATGATGTTGATAATGTTGATAACATTGATGATGTTGAAAATGTTGATGATGTTGTTAATGTTTATGATGTTTAAATTGTTAATGATTTTGAGAACTCTGATGATGTCGATAATTTTGATGATGTTGATGATGTTTCTTAGGATGATTATTGATAATATTGATTATATTCATACTATTGATAAAGTTAATAATGTTGTTGGCATTGATTTGACATACAATCATTTTATTGTAAAAGTTGATTGTGTTTTTTTATAGTGTTAATGTTGATGATTATGAAGATTTTGATTTGGATGATTTTGTTGTTATTTACGATGCTAACGATGCCAGAATATAGACAATGCTCTTGATGTTTAAGATGCTCACTAAGATGTCAATGTTGATGATAAAGATAATGATTTTATTTATTCCTACTTATAATGCTAATGATGTTGATTCTTATAACATCAATTATTGTGATCATGTTGTTCAAAGAACATATTAACCTGGTAATTTCTATACAAATATAAATTATAATTATTTCAAGCATGGGAAGGAAATTTATCGGATATTATTTTTGAAAGAAAGTTTGATAGATCAGCTTTATCAGCTCGAGGTTGATTTGAAAGGTTTCGTGTTGAAATACTTGATATAAAGCCTAATTTATCGTTGAAAACTTCAAGTCATGCTATTTACAATATTGACATTTTTTCTGGTGCTTGTGACTCTTCCCACATTTCTCATGATTATTTTCTTTTGATTTTCCGCGAAGCATGCATTCTGAAACCCATTTTTCAAACTATTCTAATTTATGGTTGTCCGGTTGCATGTGCAATTTATCAAATCAATATCAGAAAATTGCATTCGTCTGAAAGGGGACTTTTGAAGTAATTTATAGTGAGCATCCATTTAAAGAGGTGTATTCCAACGGTACTCGTTCAATGATGTCAATGGAAAAATTACAAAGATATCCATTTTTTATATAAAAAATAAACGTAATATCACATTTTCAGATTAAAAAATAAACGTTATATCACGTTTTAAGATTACAAGATAAAATATAATATTACGTTGTTAGAATACAAAATAAACATAATATCACGTTTTTTGATTACAAAATATACAAAGTATCACGTTTTTGAATACAAAATAAACTAAATATCACGTTTTCAGAAAATGAAAATAAAAATTAAATATTTTGGCCTGCTTTGGGTTTACTCTACAACGTTAGTGCAGGTAACTTATTAAACAATTTTTTCTTCAATTCTAACCTTCTCTTTTGTTCAGGGAGTTTTTAAATGTCCGTCTGACGGTCATTTCCCAGACCCTGAGAATTGTGCGTCCTATTACCACTGTGCAAACGATCATGTAAGAAATTAATTAATTAGAAAAAAAAATAAAAAAAAAATATATTCTTATGTTAAATCAGCCGTATCCTGGTGCTTGCTCTCCTGGATTACTCTGGAATGGTCTCAAGGTATTTCTATCCTACAGGATGTTCCAATAAACACGGGAATACAGGGTGTTCCAATAAACACGGGAATACAGGGTGTTCCAATAAACACGGGAATACAGGGTGTTCCAATAAACACGGGAATACAGGGTGTCCCAATAAAAACGGGAATACAGGGTGTCCCAATAAACACGGGAATACAGGGTGTCCCAATAAAAACGGGAATACAGGGTGTTCCCAATAAACACGGGAGTTAAGGGACAGCAACACAACGGCAATTAAAGCTTTTTCGAAAATTATTAAATTATTAATTGTGGTCTGCGGTCTTAAAAAATGAAACTTGGACAAAATTCTTAATATTTTGGTATTTTTGCGTGTTGATCGAAGACGACTTAAAGTCGTCACTCAATCCACTGAGTTTTTGTTTTAATTTTTCATGCAGTATATATGACACGATGTACAATTATTTTAATTATCTTGAAATTCTTTTTTTTCTTCAAAAATCATGACTTATTGTACAGTTTTCAAAGGATAAATATAATCTATTTAATTTATTGCATTACTGTTTATGAATTTTTGTTTTCCTAATGGTTAATTTTAATTTATTTTATTTCTGACGGATGAATATAAATTATTATATTCCTAAAGGATGAATATGATTTATTGCATTCTTAAAGTGAGTGTTCGCGAAAAATGAAGGGGGATATAGGTTTCATCCGATAAAAAATCGCTTTTGATCGCTTCTAATCTTACTTCTATCTGTTGTGTCTATAAGGAGAAAATTGTTAAAAACGTAGTGTCCATACAAATTCAGAAAGATGCAACATTCAACTCGGATCGTAAAGAAATCAATCTAATTCCAAACAAATCATTCAGATATTACAAACAATAGTCATCGATTATTTTTCGACGCATTCGTAAATAGTTGATATTTCATAATATTTTGTATTTTTCATGATCTGAGAGTTCCTTTTGAAAACATTTATTCCTGTTTCGAGGATTTTTGATAATGAAGACGACATTTTCATATTTTCAGGAAAGTTCGAAAATCCAGCGCCATCGAAAATTATTTTTTTTTTAAATCAAAAATATAATGAAATATTAACTATATACGAATTCGTCGAAAAATAATCGATGAATACTGTTTGTAATATCTGAATGATTTGTTTGGAATTAAATTGATTTGTTTACGATCCGAGTCTTTCTGAATTTGTATGGACGCTGTGTTCTTCGGTATTAGTCGTTTTAAACAATTTTCTCCTTACAGACGCAACAGATAAAAGTAACAATCAAAAGTGCGTTTTTTATCGCATTAAGCCTATACCCCCTTTCATTTTTCGCGAACACTCCCTTTAAAGGATGAATAAGTTTGATTGTATTCCTGAAGGATGTTTCATTAAAAGGATGAATGTGATTTCCCTGAAAATGTGAATTGTGAGATATCCTTGGGAGACATTGCACAAATGAAGGTATAACTGTGAAAACATATATTTTCAATATAAGCTGTCCCACGTAAAATGATAATTGTGAGACAGCTTGAAGATCGTCTTTGAAATAATTTGCGGCATTCTATCGTCAACCTCATTTTACGGTAAACTTTTAATCAAAAAAGCCCTCGAAATTGTGGAATTTTCAAAATTTTAATTTTTCGTTTTTTTATAAAATAAATTGAACTCTTAAAGAAAATCTTTTAGATCCAGTAATTTTGATCGCACGACAACAAAGATAGCCGGCCAAACGGCTAAACCAAATTTGTTGAGAGAAACAATATCTGCGGGCCCGGGGAGTAACATAGGCTAAAACAAATTCAGTTTTTTTTCAAAAATCTAAACTTTTTTTAAAAATTTAATAATATTTTTTTCCCGTGGGCAACGCTGGGTACTACAGGGTTACAGCTAGTATTATATAAGGACATTTGAGATGATTATTTCACAAATATATTGGTATTAGTAAGTTGACGAAAAAGACCGCAGTTTTATCAAAGATTACGACCTCTTTATTGACGTTTAATATATAGACACAAACATACAAAGATATTTTCAGTTCTTCATAAATCTCAATTTCTAGGTTAAAGATGGTACCTTTATCTATATGACCTTTGATGATGGACCAAACGAAGGAACACCGTATGTTCTTGACGCACTTCAAAAATATGGCGTCAGGGAGGAGGAGAATTTTTAAAATAAAAGCAATAAAGCTGAATTACAAATGTTAAAGCCTTTTTATTATTATTTTTTTTTAAAATGAACACTTCTTATCAAAAAATGCTTTTTATGTTTTTTTTTAATAGATGTATTCACAAAATGAAATTCTTCAATTGATTTTTTTTTGATTAAAAATTTGAAATTTGTATGGCCCAAGAGTAAAAAAAAGATCTTTAAAAAAGCACAGATTAAATATTAAAGTATAAAAATAAAATTATGAAACAAAAAACCAATTTTACAATCTCTAAAAACAAAAATATCAGATAATCTAATGTCTTTTCATCAATAATTAACAATTAACATCCTTGTATTAAATAGAGCAACCTTTTTCATTAACAGTGATAATCTGCACGAAGCAAACGAAACTATCGTCAACAGAAACAAACAATCCATTATTAGGTACAGTTCCAAAATATTGTTCAGAAATAAATGTTTAAATTTTTGAAAATTTTGTTAAAAATGCAGTTTTTAGTTCCATCAAACAATCATAACTTATCTGATGCTGATTCTGAACTTGATTTATTACAGTTAGTGCATTCACTTTATATACAGGCTGGACCAATAACATGGGAATTAGGCGACGAATATCGTCTTTGTTCCACGCGGAATATTTCTTTAACAATGTACATGTAAAGTAGTAATTTTGTTTAAACAAGATGCACCTAATACTGTCAGTTTTTGTCTCGAACAATAATTGTATCATTTTTAAACCTTTGAATTTCCAATTTATTGAATAAAATTAGAATGGACTAGAACTTAAAGGGACTGTAAAGGATAAATGAAAGGGGGTATAGGCTGAAACCTAAGCATTTTAAGAGTTGATCGAGACCCATGAGATTTCTATCTGATATTCCTGTCTCGAGAAATTGATATAAACTGTGTCAAATTTATACAAAAATCTACATATATATAAAATTTTGTATAGTAATAGAAGGTTTAAACAGATCATATTCAGAAAATACGCAACCAATCAGAAAACGAGGAGCCTAAGAAAATTAGGGTTGCTTCTGTTATTTTTTGAATTTAATATTATTTATACGTCCGTACTCCGTATCACGTTACCAGAGCTCCCGCCAATGACAGTGTATTATACTGGTCACATGATAATATTACTGCACTGCCATTGGTGGAAGTTCTGGTCACATGATACTATTACTGCACTGCTATTGGTGGGAGTTCTGGTCACATGATAATATTACTGCACTGCAATTGGTGGAAGTTCTGGTCACATGATACGAACGAATAAATAATATGATAAGGCTTCAGCCTAAACCCCCTTTCATTTTTCCTTTATAGTCCCTTAAAATGCCCCATTAAATCTTTTGAAAAGCTTTACGAAGCAGAGATGATTTTAAGATCATCTCTTGATTTTCATGTTTATTGGGACATCCTGTATAAAGATTTAAAACAGAGTGGGTACAATAAATCAATAAAACTAGGTGTTTCATTCTAACATTATTTAATGAAGAGCAATTTAAAGGATTTTTTGTTAAAAAAATATTTTATTAAATTTATAAGGTACAGGGCGGAAAAAAGTCTGGTCTTTGAAAAAAAATCTAAAATAGCCCATAACTTTTTTGTGACTAAAGCTATAGATCTAAAAACAATATTTTTGAAAAGCCCTTGAAAAATACATGTAGAAACATGTTTCACACTTTGATATTTGTTTAAATCAAAAAATATTTTTTTTTCATTTTTTGACCCTTTTTTAGTCGTTTCTTTCCACCCCTAGCACCCAAACTATTAAAGTTATCGGTCTAATTTTTTTTCTTTGAGCTGGCCATGAAAAACTGGGCTATGAACATGCATTTTAACCCTATATCTATTCTATAAGGTCTTTTTCAGGCTATATACATAGATTCAGACCCTCCAACCTTTATAGGGTTAACTGTATCTTATTTTATTAATTGATTCATTGAATACGTGAGTTTTTGCACTATCTTCATCATAACAATTATTTTCATTATTTATTGCCTGTCAAAGATAACATTTTATTTTAAAGGGACTCTTCACGAACACTCCCTTTAAAGGGACTGTCATAATCTAATATTTTCCTCAATATTTACATGCCCGATTCTAAAAGGTACCCTTCAAACCTTGATCGGATTTAAAACTTTAAATTACGTCTACAGTTCATGATAGCTGATGTTTTGTTTTTAAATCCAGTCAAGTTAGTTTCGTGGTCCAGTTGAAAACTTGATACTTAAAACTCCAAACCTATGAAAAATAGAATCAATAGACTTCTTGAATATGTCTAAACATATCTTTTCCCATTAAACACCATTTCTTATTTTTTTTTATTTCAAGAATTTTGACGGAGGGTCATGTATTGGGAGATCATTCTTACGATCATATGGTTCATAATACGATCAATGATTCACCCAGGTAAAAAGATCAATGATTCACCCACGTAGAAAGATCAATGATTCACCAGGTAACATGATCAATGATTCACCAGGTAACAAAATCAATGATTCACCAGGTAACAAGATCAATCATTCACCCAGGTTTCAAGATCTTTAATTCATCAGGTAACAAGATCAATGATTCAGTAGGTAACAAGATCAATGATTCACCAGGTAAAAAGATCATTGATTCACCAAGTAACAAGATCATTGATTCACTAGGTAACAAGATCAATGATTCACCAGGTAACAAGATCATTGATTCACCAGATAACAAGATCAATGATTCACTAGGTAACAAGATCAATGATTCACCAGGTAACAAGATAATTGATTCATCAGGTAACAAGATCATTGATTCAAGATCAATGATTCATCAGGTAACAAGATCAATGATTCACCAGGTAACACGATTATTGATTCACCAGGTCACAAGATCAATGATTCATCAGGTAACAAGATCAATGATTCACCAGGTCATAAGATCAATGATTCACCAGGTAACAAGATCAATGATTCACCAGGTAACAAGATCAATGATTCACCAGGTAACAAGATCAATTATTCACCCAGGTTTCAAGATCATTAATTCATCAGGTAACAAGATCAATGATTCACTAGGTAACAAGATCAATGATTCACCAGGTAACAAGATCAATGATTCACCAGGTAACAAGATCAATGATTCACCAGGTCACAAGATCTTTGATTCACCAGGTCACAAGATCTTTGATTCGCCAGGTCACAAGATAATTGATTCACCCAGGTCACAAGATCTTTGATTTATGAGTTAACAAGATCATTGATTCACCCAGGTCACAAGATCTTTGATTCCCCAGGTAACAAGATCATTGATTCACCCAGGTCACAAGATCTTTGATTCCCCAGGTAACAAGATAAATGATTCACCCCGGGCACAAGATCTTTGATTCACAAGGTAACAAGATCTTTGAATCACCCGGGGCACAAGATCATTGATTCACCCAGGGCACAAGATCATTGATTCACCGGGGCACAAGATCATTGATTCACCCGGGGCACAAGATCATTGATTCACCCGGAGCACAAGATCATTGATTCACCCGGGGCACACGATCATTGATTCACCCAGGGCACAAGATCTATGATTTATCAGTTAACAAGATCAATGATTTACCCCGGGCACAAGATCTTTGTTTCACCCGGGGCACAAGATCTTTGATTTATCAGTTAACAAGTTCAATGATTTACCCTGGGCACAAGATCTTTGATTCACCCGGGGCACAAGATCATTGATTCACCAGGTAACCAGATCATTATTTCACCCGGGGCACAAGATCATCGTTTCACCAGGTAACCAGATCATTAATTCACCCGGGGCACAAGATCATTGATTCACCAGGTAACCAGATCATTAATTCACCCGGGGCACAAGATCATTGATTCACTGCAGGTAACCAGATCATTAATTCACCTGGGGCACAAGATCATTGATTCACCAGGTAACCAGATCATTAATTCACCCTGGGCACAAGATCATTGATTAACCAGGTAACCAGATCACAAATTCACCTGGGGCACAAGATCATTGATTCACCAGGTAACCAGATCATTAATTCACCCGGGGCACAAGATAAACTGCAATGCAATGAAAAAGTTAATCTAAAAAAAACCAGAATAGTCTATTCTTTGAGCTTCATAGTTTCATTAAAAGTGGTCCCCATATATGTTCAAGCTAATAAAATAATCTCAACATCATTTATCTGATGAGCTTACCAGTATTTTGTTAGGAATGCCTATAAGGGAATGGAAGACGACATTATGTGGTTTGGGCAGAGAAGCATTGATCCAGTAACATTTACTATCAAGGAAGCAGGTTAGATAGTTAAAACAAAAATACGTAACACTAAGTTGTAAACCTAAACAAATATAAATTATGAAAACGTAACACTAAGTTGTAAACCTAAACAAATATAAATTATGAAAATGTAACACTAAATTGTAAACCTAAACAAATATAAATTATGAAAATGTAACACTAAGTTATAAACCTAAACAAATATAAATTATAAAATTGTAACACTAAGTTGTAAACATTAACAAATATAAATTATGAAAATGTAACACTAAGTTGTAAACCTAAACATTTATAAATTATGAAAATGTAACACTAAGTTATAAACCTAAACAAATATAAATTATGAAAACGTAACACTAAGTTATAAACCTAAACAAATATAGATTATGAAAATGTAACACAAATTTGTAAACCTAAACAAATGACAATATTTCCACATTTATATTGATTAGATAGAGGGTTCAAGGATACCGCGCGTAGTGAATTAGAAATTTCCATCTTTGCAAGTAGGGTCGCTTGACATTGCAATCAAAGAATCTTTACTTAATATCCCGCAGTCTCGGGAATCAAGGGTCATTAATGTTGTAAAAATATGTTAAAAGGTAAACAACCTGTTGACAGAGTTTATTTATTAAAAAAACACAGTGAACGGTAACCCAGAGAAATATTGTTTTCATGTCGTTATTTTTCGAAGGATTTGATGAAGACGCTGTCAACTATGTTACTCAGACTATGTGGAATAATATCAGGTTAAAGCCGTAAAGGAAAAATGAAAGGGGGTATAGGCTGATACCTGAGAATCTCAGGGGCTGATTGAGACTTATAAAGGTTCTATCTGATGTTCTTGTCTCGAGAAATTGATGTAAAACTGTGTCAAAATTCCAAAACGTAAATATGTAAGATTTTGTATAAGATTTGTAATATTAAACTCATTAAACAGATCATAATCAGCAAAAACGCAAACAATCTGAAAACGATGATATCCCAGAGGAGTCTGAGAAACTCAGGTTTGCTCCTATTATTATTTGAATTTAATAATTTTTCAGTTTTAATAGATATAATTGATAATATTATTTATATGTCCGGACTCTGGACCATGTCACCAGCACTCCAACCAATGGCAGTGCAGTATTATTGTCACGTGCCTCCGTCTGTATCACGTGACCAGTGTACTGCACTGTCATTGGAGGGAGATCTGGTCACGTATAATCTGGACCTATATCTTACAAATATACGTTTTGGTATAATTTTGACACAGTTTTATGTCAATTTCTCGAGACAGGAACATCACATAGATTTTTTATAGGTATCGTTCAACTCCTGAGATTCTCAGGTTTCAGCCGATGCCCCCTTTCATTTTTTCCTTTACAGTCCCTTTAATAATGTTTATTTATATCATTAGGTTTATCTATTTATGCAAATACAAATTGAGAGTAAAAACGCAGAATAACAATTCTCCAGAATTGAATAAAATCTTATCATTTGGAAATTGGCGTTGCATTGTATTTGCATTTTGCCACAATCTCAAGTTATCTATATCTTTGCAACCTGTTGGTGTAAACCTTTGATATTTCAACTTTAACTAAAAATTTTATAGTTTGAATTATTAAAGGTCTAGAACATCAGGTTGCGAAGATATAGGAATTAGAAGAAAGAGATTATTACAGAAACTCAATTCTTTTGTGCTTGTAAGGTTACTTAATTACTCTATATGAGCCATATTTTCAGAATTTGAAGATTCCAGACATCTTGTGTCCATGTTATAATATTTAATGCATAAATATTCAGACACAATACAAAGAGAACCTAATATATAAATACATAAAAGTATATTTATGGTTTCTAGATAAAATAGATTTATGTTTTGAGTCACCTCGTCTGAAAATATATTAAATCATGCCAAAACAAACCAGCAAAAAGGGAGAAACTGGAAACGGAAAACATTCTATAAAGAATGAAAATAATCTTGCTATTTTGGTTTGAACTCAAACAACATTATTCAATCTTCTGACTACTACATCATAGATAGGACTTACATATATTTACGAAAGATTTGAGAAAAATATAATTTGTTCAAGATCGGTCTATTTTTCATTTTCACTTCCCCTTTCTTTCCCATCTTCATATAGCCATTTTCCACTTTCCTTTTCTTACCCATCTTCATATAGCCATTTTCCACTTTCCTTTTCTTACCCATCTTCATGTAGCCATTTTCCACTTTCCTTTTCTTACCCATCTTCATATAGCCATTTTCCACTTTCCCTTTCTTACCCATCTTCATATAGCCATTTTCCACTTTCCTTTTCTTACCCATCTTCATGTAGCCATTTTCCACTTTCCTTTTCCTTTCCCATCTTCATATAGCCATTTTCCACTTTCCTTTTCTAACCCATCTTCATATAGCCATTTTCCACTTTCCTTTTTTTATCCATCTTCATATAGCCATTTTCCACTTTCCTTTTCTTACCCATCTTAATATAGCCATTTTCCACTTTCCCTTTCCTTTCCCATCTTCAGATAGCCATTTTCACTTCCCTTTTCTTATCCATCTTCATATAGCCATTTTCCATTTTCCACTTTCCTTTTCCTTCTTCTTTATCCTTGGCGAGCTAAAAACCTCACAACCCTGGATAGTTTTTCTCTTTCAGGCTTCCCTTCTCTAACAACTGGAGGGTTGGACCTATCTCACATGATTGCTACCCCTGCACTGTCCCTCCATCATCAGGAAAGTTAGTCATTTTTTTAAGTTAAACAAGTAAAATTTTTTTTTCTACTTCGGTATATTTTCAGGACAGAAAGTGATTTAAAACAAAATTTATTAAAAAAATATTTCTGCTACGATATATTTAGTAATGGAGTTGAGTTGGCTAAAGCTCTGAGTATGGATGGAGCTCATGTATTTGGTTGGGATTTGGAGTGGAATATGGACTATAACATCAATAGGTAAATATTATGAATACATACACTTTTTTCTTGCTTTTTTCTTTTTAAAAGAGAATTTTTTTTTTTTTTTATAAAGTGAAATGAACATAAAAGTGACGAGCAAGTTCATTAACCATTATATCATGAGTCTAGGGTTTCCAACGTAATGGGGAAATCATTTCGCGAAAATGTTTTCTTTCGCGTTTATATGTTTAAAAAAAAATATTTTCTTGGCCAATTTCGCATTTTTGTTGCGCAACAAATTTCAATTTTTTTTTCGCGAAACAGATTGATGCGAAATTTTTTCATTTTTTTGAAATACGGGGGAAAAATTTTGCAAAATTTTGAATTTTTTCGCGAAAGTTTTCGTTCACTGGAATCCCTAATCATGACCTGCCATAAACCACCCCCTGAAAAATATCTTAATTGGTTCAGCCGTTTTGACGTCAATTTTTAGAAAAACCGGAAATACAAAATTACATAATTTTTGAATAATCTAAATATAGATATATATACATATATATATGTGCAGGTATAGATACGATGGGTCAGCTATGTTTTACCGACTAAACCCAAGAGGAGGAAAACTTCCTGGCAAAATAATAGTTTTGTCTCATGACATTGCACACAGGTCATTAATTTCCCTTGATTTTCCTTAGTTTTCCTTGATTTTCCTTGATTTCCCTTTGATTTCCCTTGATTTTCCTTGATTTCCCTTGATTTCCCTTGATTTTCCTTAATTTCCCTTGATTTTTCTTAATTTTCCTTGATTTTCCTCGCTTTTCCTTGATTTTTCTTGATTTTTCTTGATTTTCCTTGATTTTCCTTGATTTTCTTTGATTTTTCTTGATTTTCCTTGATTTCCCTTGATCTTCCTTGATTATCCTTGATTTCCCTTGATTTCCCTTGATTTCCCTTGATTTTCCTTTATTTCCCTTGATTTTCCTTAATTTTCCTTGATTTTCCTCGCTTTTCCTTGATTTTTCTTGATTTTTCTTGATTTTCCTTGATTTTCCTTGATTTTCATTGATTTTTCTTGATTTTCCTTGATTATCCTTGATCTTCCTTGATTATCCTGGACTTTCATTGATTTCATTGATTTTCATTGATTTTATAAAATTTTCATTCAATTTCATCAATTTTACTTAATCATAACTTATTTTCAATCATCTTTCTATTTTTTTATTAATGCCATTTCATTTAAATGCGAAGATTCATTTGAGAGTATTTAAAAAAATTCTATTTCCACGGATCTGGCTTTGCTGCAAAGCCATGGTGCAAACAGTCCCAGATAGCTTTAAAAAAACTTGGTTTCTGCTGGATTCTAATTTCTGTCACTGATGGTTTCTTCCAAATACCAAAATCACTAATTCAAAATGAGAAAAACACTGCTCAATGGAACTGAGTCTTTACCACAAACTCAATTTTTTTTTTATAAATCTTTGAAGCCTTATGGTGTACAACTTTGATATTTCAAACTTAGACTATTTGATCGAACATAATTCATAGATTGAAATATTAAAGGTCTATGATATTAGGTTGTAAAGTTAAAGGGGATAAAAAATCAGAGTATGTGACAAAAACTCAATTCCTTTAAATTCAGAAGCATTCCATTTAAGAAGGAAAAGGCGTATTATTTCTCGGAGTTTGAAATAATTTCTTTGAAAAAGAAAATCTCTTCTCAAGGGAAAAGTTTTTTCTAATTTTCTCACTTAATACTAAATTAGGAAGAAACCTTACAGATTTTACGCTTATTGGAATACAAAATTTTAGTCTCGTTTTTAGAAAATTAAAATTTGTATGAAGTATCAAAAAGGATTCACAAAATCTTTGATTTATAGCTGTCTAAAGTTTTCAAAATACAAGTTCTTTCCTTCAAATATTAGACGAATTTTCAAAAAAAATGTTTTTATTTTTTTTTTAAATTTTTTTTTTTTGATAGTCTTTTTATTAGATTTAATCAATCAAATCGATTTTAATCGAGGTTTTAATGGGCCCACAGAGAATTTGTGAATTCTTTATAAAAAGTAGTAATCTCTGTTTGTTTCTTTGTATGTCCAATCAAAACTCAGGAACCCCTTAACCGAATTGCCTCAAATTTTGAATAAGGAACTCGGTAGAACCACGGGAATGTTCCTTGCTTAGATGAAAAGGTCTAAGTGAAAGGTGAACTCTTGTAAAGTTAGAAATCTTTGTTTCCGAGCAAAGCTGGGTTCCCAAGTTAATTTATTGTAATTTAAAATGATTTTTAGGTTAGCCTTTATTCCATTGTGCGAAATTTTCACTCTGACTTAATTGTGTTTGTATTTTAATATCTTATATTTGTATCTAGGCCTGGAGGTAATATTGACGGTCAGCTTGCCCTGGAAACTTTTCTCCAGCTCTCTTTACAGAAGGGATACAAGTTTAATACTGTGGATACATACCTTACTGATAATGATAATCAATATTAATATATTTTTCTGTTATTTTCCAACAGTGATGACCAGAAAACTCTGAAATAGGAAGACGACCTAATGATTCAAGTTATGATGTTCAATTGTCCAATGAGCATGGGACACAGCATTCGTGCAATGTATGCAGACCCATCTTACTTATTTTGTGATTCAAAAAGTGTCTTTTAAAACTGTTTACTTTGTAGCAAGATCAAATACAATTATTGCTGTAAAGTCGTTTTCCTTTTTTTCTGGTCATTATTGTAATGTTTTTCTGATGTTATATTTTACTGTTTTATATTGTCAATTGTTATTTCAGATTTTGTATTTTGTGTTTATTCCAATTTAGGAAATGAATGTTAAGTTTTATTTTGTTTTTTCCTTGATTAATGTACGTGATACTTTGTTTGAACTTTCAAGTTTTAAAAAACTACAACTCACTTAAAAATTTTATTGATAAATTATAAACTTTTAGATTATGGTGGATCACTTATAATGTTCTTTAAACAATTTGCAAAATTGATATTTCAAAACAAAACAAGAATTTTAAATACTAATTATACTTATTGAAACATTAAAATTTATCTAATTGCAAATTTAGATTTAGATATTTATTCCTTTATATTATAGATAAAAACCTGGGATTCCTGGTTTTAACATTGTCGCCCTTTTAGCGGACGTGTTTCTTGATAAGAAAGAAGAAAAAATCCAAAAACTCAGCACTGAGAAAATCTGCGAATAAAAAAGTATTGATTTGATGAATATATTGTACGGAAAATCTGGGAGATGCACAAAATTCTTAATTTGATCTCACTAAAACAAAAAAATTCATACTTTTAAGTATCATAAAACATGGCGCATATATTTTACAAATAAGATTTCTGTGCTAGAAACCTGGAAACAAATCCAATAAGATTTCTGTGCTAGAAACCTGGATACAAATCCAATAAGATTTCTGTGCTAGAAACCTGGATACAAATCCAATAAGATTTCTGTGCTAGAAACCTGGATACAAATCCAATAAGATTTCTGTGCTAGAAACCTGGATACAAATCCAATAAGATTTCTGTGCTAGAAACCTGGATACAAATCCAATAAGATTTCTGTGCTAGAAACCTGGATACAAATCCAATAAGATTTCTGTGCTAGAAACCTGGATACAAATCCAATAAGATTTCTGTGCTAGAAACCTGGATACAAATCCAATAAGATTTCTGTGCTAGAAACCAGGATACAAATCCAATAAGATTTCTGTGCTAGAAACGAAACCTGGATACAAATCCAATAAGATTTCTGTGCTAGAAACCTGGATACAAATCCAATAAGTTATGAGATTTCAATATTGGGTTACGGGAAACTTTTGCTTTAGTATTCCCAGACTAACTCAATGTAAGCCATTATATTTTAAGCAAATGTTTTTCCAGCTTTTAGCTGTTTAATTTGTAAACTTTCAGACCCTGGAGCTTTTAGTTCAGATAGAGTATAGTTTAGTTAAGATAGAGTATAGTTTAGTTAAGATAGAGTATAGTTTAGTTAAGATAGAGTATAGTTTAGTTAAGATAGAGTATAGTTTAGTTAAGATAGAGTATAGTTTAGTTAAGATAGAGTATAGTTTAGTTAAGATAGAGTATAGTTTAGTTAAGATAGAGTATAGTTTAGTTAAGATAGAGTATAGTTTAGTTAAGATAGAGTATAGTTTAGTTAAGATAGAGTATAGTTTAGTTAAGATAGAGTATAGTTTAGTTAAGATAGAGTATAGTTTAGTTAAGATAGAGTATAGTTTAGTTAAGATAGAGTATAGTTTAGTTAAGATAGAGTATAGTTTAGTTAAGATAGAGTATAGTTTAGTTAAGATAGAGTATAGTTTAGTTAAGATAGAGTATAGTTTAGTTAAGATAGAGTATAGTTTAGTTAAGATAGAGTATAGTTTAGTTAAGATAGAGTATAGTTTAGTTAAGATAGAGTATAGTTTAGTTAAGATAGAGTATAGTTTAGTTAAGATAGAGTATAGTTTAGTTAAGATAGAGTATAGTTTAGTTAAGATAGAGTATAGTTTAGTTAAGATAGAGTATAGTTTAGTTAAGATAGAGTATAGTTTAGTTAAGATAGAGTATAGTTTAGTTAAGATAGAGTATAGTTTAGTTAAGATAGAGTATAGTTTAGTTAAGATAGAGTATAGTTTAGCTCAAACTTTTTAAATTAATGAATTTTTGTGGCTTGTTTCTACTTCGCATGATTTATACACCAGAAAAAGAAAAACTATATTTCTTTAAATCGACTGATACATGATTGGGGTGGGGTTTATGAACTAGCTAGGATTAAAATCTTTGATTTTAGTTCCATTAGTCCTATAAGAAAATCCTTGCTATGCGTCTGAGAGTACGGAGATTTATTAAAGGCTAGAATATGTGATATTTTCTACAACAGGTTACATTGTGTACAACTGGAGTACAGAGTGCGTCTGTACAGTGTGCGTCTGTACAGTGTGCGTCTGTACAGTGTGCGTCTGTACAGTGTGCGTCTGTACAGTGTGCGTCTGTACAGTGTGCGCCTGTACAGTGTGCGTCTGACTTTTTAATTAATTATTAATAAAATTTGCTTATCAATTCAAAATAGAAAATATCCCGTTAAAATTTCAAATGAAAGTTATAGGTTATAAACAAATCTTTAGAGGTTAGAACTTTTGAATGGAATGGCGTTAAGTTTTATCGACTGAACACTGAACACAAAGTCCACAACTCAAACTTTTAAATTGAAGGGTTTAAGTTGAATTCCAGGCATATACGGCGGGAAATCCGACAGGAGTTAATCACAAAATAATCTTGAGAAAAAGGTGGATTTCATCGACGATTTGAATAATTCCGCCGGGCGGTGATTGAAACTGACTCAAACAAACCGAAATAAAGTTTTGTAAAGTATTTATTTAGTTTTTATACTTAGTTCATGTGAAATGTATGGAGTGTTCCAACCAGCTAGAAATAAAAATCATGATTAAGGAAATTTACTATATGTATAATAGCTCCAAAATTAGCACACATAATCTGGGAGGTCCAGTGCATATATATCGGTCTATTTACTTAAACAAAATATCAAATATGGAATATTTTAAGTTCTTTGGGTTGCAAGCATTCTTGTTCAATCTTTCAAGTAAAAGATTTATAATTTGGATTGTCCAGGGTAAAATTTAAAAAAAATAAAAATCTAATTTCACATAAAAGTGTTGTTTATATTTTTATTTATTTATTTTAAATTTTTATTTATTTATTTGAAATCCTTTCCATTACCTTTTCCAGTAATAAAAAATTGTTTCTTTCTACGCCAACAATTATTGAAAAAAAACATTGTTATCAAAATGCAATTCTGCATAATGTAATTATAACGTTGGACCAGTACAAACGACGGACCCGTACAAACGTTGGAAAAGTACAAACGACGTGCCAGTACAAACGTCTGACGAATACAAACGTCGCACTGTAAGTACATACATCGGAACAGTACAAACAAACGTCAGACGAGTAAAAACGTCGGACTAAGGAAAAAGATTTTTTTTTAATTTTAAAATTTAATTTTATTTAAATTTCCTTTTATCGACTGGTGTAATGAAAATCCTCCAAAATTTTCTCAAATATTCTCATTCCTATATCTTTGCAGCCTTATGGTATTAACCTTTGATACTTTCAAACTAAACTGCTTGATCTCATAGATTTCTCAGGTAAAATATCAAAGGTCTACGACATCGGGTATAGGTTCACCGACATAGGGTCAAACATGCAACTTAGCTTTTAGTTCTGTTGTTCATCAATACTACACCTTCAAAGGTACTCTCCTGTATGCCGAGTCCATTAGCGCCTGGTCCAATCAGGGTTCAGTCATGTGTTTGTTGTCTACTCTACACCAATAGAAATAGAATGGTGGTCACAACTATCTTTCTATCATTCTCATTAACCAATTAGAGATATAAATCCTTTAATCGGCGCTATCAGTAAATGGAAATATTATTCTACTGGAACTATAGTGAAGGATGATACTTTGAGACTTTATTCAGTTATCTTTGATTTTTATCATAACAAGTGAGTGATTTTTAATTTATTTCTTAGAGAATGTAACAATGGTCCTTTTTTTTAAAACTCAATTAACTAAAGCTTTTCCTTGTAAATGTACCCGTCCGATGTTTGTAATGTCCGTAGTTTGTAATGTCCGACCTTAGTACCGTCTGACGTTTGTACTTGAACCAATTTAACACATTTTAACCTACACTATACATCTATATCTTACACATTATTGATCAATCAAAGGTTTTAAGGGTACAGTTGTGAATTGGGCATGTCCCCCTTAAAAGAAAACCATGCTCACAATTAATTGAGAAGATGGGCGCGAAGCGCCCTCTAAGGCTAGTATATTTATAAATTTGGTTTGTCTGTTTGTTTGTATCCAATAAACGTCAAAACGGCTGAACCGATCGGGCCCAGGGGGGGTCACTATAAATATCCCTTTAAGGCTAAAACAAGCTTCAAATAAGTTTCGTTTTTCTTGCCCTTTAACTTGGAAACTTCATGCATATATTCGAATATTCAAGTTCTAAGTTGAGAAAATTGAAAAATAAATAAATAAATAAACCTAAAACAATACTGCACAAAATACACAAGAATTTAAGTTCACTAAATACATATTTTTTCTCGGATTAAGCTTACAATACTCAGATAGTTGTAGAGGGGTGGTGTTGGGGGGCATATGGGCTTAAGTTCCCCCCCCCCTAAATCAGTGAAATCTACGATTTCCGGGGGGTTTTCAGACAAAGAGAGAAAAACTGGTAATCCCCCTCGTAAAGAAATTCCCTTTTATGCCAATTACCTCTGACACTACATATGATTCCTATCCAAGGTTGTATAGTAAAGCTAGATACTCTGGATGTGTTCCAATGTACTAGAAATGTCGTCTTCATCACAATGGACACTTAAAATTCTTTTATAAAAGTAACTTATAATTGGCGATTTGAAGTGACAACGTTGTTGGTGAGAGCGAGGGATTTTTTATGTTCATTGATACGAAGACGACATTTCTAGTACAATGGAGCGCATCCAGAGTATCTGTAAACTTACTATACAACCTTGTTCGTACTAATTCACAGCTAGCTCCTTGTTCGAACCAATTCACAGCTAGCTCCTTGTTCGTACCAGTTCACAGCTAGCTCCTTGTTCGTACCAGTTCACAGCTAGTTCCTTGTTCGAACCAGTTCACAGCTAGCTCCTTGTTCGTACCAGTTCACAGCTAGCTCCTTGTTCGTACTAGTTCACAGCTAGCTCCTTGTTCGTACCATTTCACAGCTAGCTCCTTGTTCGTACTAGTTCACAGCTAGCTCCTTGTTCGTA